ATTACGTTATAGCAGCCCAAACTAAGACAATTCGCCATTTAAAAAAAATGCATTTATCTTTAAATACTTTCCTACAAAGTCTACAGTTACTCAGTATTATTACTAAAGAAACAAACAGGCATGATAGTATCCATCAGAATTCCCTTACCCATCCCTTTAATTTTTGATAGCTTTTATTTATTTTTAATTAAATTTATTGGAGTTACATTGATTAATACCATTATATAAATTTCAGGTGTACAACTTTATAATACAACATCTGTATAATCTATTGTGTGCTCATCACCTGAAGTCTAATCTCCTTCTGTCACCATATATTTGATTCCCTTGTCAGCTTTTAAAAAGCACAAAGTTACTGTTATCATTACTTGGAAATACTTTTTAGAATTTTACCAAAATGTTATATTGACTCATTTGTTTACCATTGCTCTTTGTATCCCATACTTTCATTCTGAATTCATTTTCTTATTTTCCTGAGGTAAATACTTCAGTAATTTTTTTTGGGGGGAGGCAAAACTCTGTTGTGGTAAACTCAGTTTTGAATGTTTTTATTTAACTTGAGATAAATGTTTCTATGTCACTGTTGAATAAGAGTTTGAGTCTTAATTTCAAGATTGACATTTATTTTACCCCAGCTTTGAAGATACCACTTCATTGCTTTATGGCATTTCCTGTTGCTGCCGATTTGTTTTTTTTTTTCTTTATTTTTAGGTAATTTGTCATTTCTTTATGTAGATAGATTTTCATCTTTATCATTGATGTACAATTCCATCTGATATATCTAGATGTAGATTTCTATCCTCCGATCTCCCATTTACTCATGGTTATTGCTTGATGTGCTTTTTCCAATTTGAAGACATGTGTTTCATCAATTCTGAACATTTTTTAGCAGTCATATCTTCAAATATTTTTCCCAACCCCCACCCACCCTATTTGAACCACTTTATCCCTCTAGGATTTCTATTAGGCACACATTGGAGTTTTTCAGTCAATCAACCCACATGTCTATTTCACATTTTCTATTTCTTTACCTACCTATGCAAACACTTGATTTTAAACATTCTACCTTCTAAATCACTGTTTCTCTTCTCTCTTCAGCTTTATCTAATCTTTCAACATCTGAAGTTTTCATTACTAAAATTTTCTAATGTCTCTATTGATATTAGTCTTAGTTTTTATTTGTTTGTTTAGTATCTTCCTGTTCTCATTGCAAAGCAGACCCTTCCCCTTTTATCTTTTTGGTAATTCTAAATATACTCATTTTAGATAACTTTTATGTTTCCTACATTATTTCTCTTTCTTTGGGTGTGATTCCTTTCTTTTGGGATATTTACTATTTCTCATGGTTTTAAGTTTCTTCTATTACTTCATATTGTTAGTTTTTTAGTATGTAGTTTGTAGATATTTAAAACTCATGCATACTTTTCTCTGCCATGTGGTTTGGATACCTTTCCAGGATGATTTGCTCTCTACCTATTGTTGACATCCAATTGACATACACTACTGAAAAGGACCGAATAGTAGTTACGCTATTGAAATACTTCCTCATCTGTTAGCAAAGAGCTGTTTTTTTTGAGCTCCCCCCAAAAATGTCACTCTCCCTTTGAACTCTGACCCATCTCTGAGAATCCCAGGACCTGTCCACAATTCAGTTACTTAAATGGTTAAGGGACCAGCAGATGATCTCTAGCACTCTGTTCCAATACTAGAGCAGAGTCCTTTCTGATTGCTGGGTGCATTTTTTATTACCCCTGCCTCCACTCAAGTCTTAACATTGGAAGGTTGGAGGCTTTTCTCCCATGTGAGAAGTGGTGAAGTGGTATCCGTGATACCACACCTGTGGTGCTAGAGGGCCACCCTTCATTGTCATTTTTTTCTCTTTTGGCCAGCTTATTTCCTCATAGAATCACAGGCAAGTGGCACCTGTCTGTTATACCATAAACTGTAGGGGGAGCTATACTAGCCTTAGTTCAGAGCTAGGGGCTCATGAGTAACTCTAGCCACTTGCTCATTCATGAAGCCTAGTTCTGGTCTCCTGACATTTACAAGGTAAATTAAACTTCTTTTTCAAAATAGACTTAAGAGACTTTTAAGCTTGGACTGCCACTGCTCAAATCCAATTTCTAGTACCTACTTGTGGATTACACTATTCCAGCCCCCAATCCACAATGACAGGTTCCTTCTGTAATTAGTCCATTGATTTTTAAAATTCAGATATAACTGACATATAACATATTAATTTCAACATGATTTGATATTTGATTATATTATGAAATAATCACCATGAAAGTAGTTAAAATTCATCATATCTAATTAGAATTTTTTTTCTTGTGACAAGAACTTTTAAGATCTACTCTCTCAGCAACTTTCAAATACACAGTACAGTATTATTAACTGCAATCACCTTGCTGTACATTAAATCCCCAAGAGTTATGTGTTTTACTGGAACTTTATACTTTTTGACCACCTTCACCCATCTTGCCCACCCCTCACTCTCTACCTCTGGCAACCATCCATTCATATTTTCAGTGGCTTTCAATCATAATCAATTCATTTCAACCATAAACTATACATACACACACCTATGTACACACATATATACATATATATACACACATATATGAAATCATCTTAACACCTTTGTATCTGCTGCTTACTTCATGTATCATTTTATGTCAAACTATTCTGTCTGACTTGACCAAGTTTTGTAAATTTGCTTCTTTTGTGTTTCTTTTCTTTTCCCCAGGAGTACTTTCACGTTTTGTATTTCTACTCTGAAAATCATCCCCTTGTCTGGCTACCTGAAATTTTTTTCTCCCTTCAAATATTGGTTTCCTTTGGAATATCATTTGACATTTAGAATATACAGATTTTATATTATGAACATTCACCACTAACTTTTTTTAAAAAATAAATTTATTTATTTAAATTAGTTTCAAGTATACAATACATTGGTTAGACATCTATAATGTTCATAAAACGATCCCCCCAATTGCAACCTCCCTCCCCTGGCCCTCCACTTAGCCATCGTATTAATGCTAACTACATTCCCTCTTTCATGCTCCCCATGCCCAACTATCAACTACTAATTTGTATTTCTTTAACCTTTCACCTCATTCTCCCAGCCTCCCAACCCCCTTCCTCTCTGTCCGTCACCAAATTGTCCACTATATTTGTGAATCTGTTTTTGATTAGTTTGTTCTTTTTGTTCCACATGTAAGTGAAATCATATGGTACCTATCTTTCTCTGTCTCACTTATTTCACTCAGCATAATAACCTCTAGGACCATCCATGTCATTGCAAATGGTAGGATTTCATTTTTTTTTTAATGACTAAGTAATATTCCATTGTATATATGAACCATACTTCTTTATCCAATCTTCTGTTGATGGGCATTTAGGTTGCTTCCATATCTTGGCTATTGTAAATTATGCTGCCATGAATATTGGAGTGCATAGATCTTTATGAATTATTGTTTTGGTTTTCTTTGGATAAATACCCAGAAGTGCAATTGCTGGGTCAAAATTACCACTAACTTTTATTAAGTTTTTTGAAAATAATAACTTTCCACAAATATATTTTGTATACAGATTTTTAGCCTTTCTTAAAAGAGACAATGACACTCTTATTTCAGTAGTGTAATTGGACTCACTGTGTGGAAGAGAGCATTCGCTATATATGTACGGAATATATGTATCTTTTATATAACTTGTCATTTTAATGGATCAATCATTTACTAGTAACTGGATATATTGCTATGTGACTATAAAGTAACTCTGTATATACTCTTGATTTTCGATGTGGCAGATTTGATTTCTTTACATGTTTGAATTTTCTAAAAGTTGGCAACGTTTATTTCCTAGTCTTACCAGTTCCTAAATCTTCAAAAGTTCTGGGCTACCTTTGGTTTTAAAGATTATTTTGTTCTCAGAATTGATGACACCAAGAATAATGTGCTTTGAATATTTAAAGGATATCAACTATGCTAGAGCAGTAGGTACACTCTGGCAGTGAACTTCAAAGGCACAATGTGCTGAAAGTTTCAACACTTGTACATGATCATTTTTAGTCTGCAGTATTGTCGACATTGAGCTGTTTTTGACCATTGTTTATATTGTGTGTGTAGCACTATAGGTGGGCTGTTGGACTGGTATAAGGTACCTCTAAATGAAAGTCTTTTTAAGTGATCTTCAATATAGATGGAAACAAATTTGACACGTTACCAGGAAAGTAGGCCAATTAGTGACAAAGCTTAACAGCTTAAGGGAGAGAGCCTGAACATAGATGTGGCAGAATAAACAGGAAGGAAAAACATAATCTCAGCAGGGCCCTTATTTTTTTTAAGAAATTAGATCTTCCTTTAAAAAAAACTTTAAAGATTTTGAGCTTCCCGAATGAAGTAATTTTATCATGGTTTTGATGGATAGAAAATCACCAACTTCGTTTTATCTGTAAAGTTGTACCAACACTCAATAAAACAGACATACTGTAATGTATTATTTTATACCTTGGTTTTTCTATTAATATTATAAAAAAATTTCCGCTATTCCCTGAAAACTATTCTAGTCATCCTTCTCTCATATTTTCTTACATGCTACTTAGGAACACTTTTTTACAATATATATCTTCCCAGACTTTCTTTTTCTATCGAGATTATGGATTAAGTTTTTTAAAAATAATAATGGTGCCCAGAAATGCCTAAGTTTGACTTTTATATCAATATTCCTCCTTATCGCATCTTATATGTTTATGAATGTCTTGCATCCGTCAGCAGTGACTAATGCTCAAAAATTTGTTTATGGAATAGGGTATTTTGGGTATTTCAGAATTTCAAACTCTAACGTGTGGAAGCTCTCTGACCACAGGTATGACTATATTGAAATATGTATTTAACATGACTGCTGACAAGAAGATTAAACTTAGGGCATGCAATTATCTTATATTTTACCTCAGAGAATTGAATTAAAACTAACCCACTTCCCTCCCTCTCTGTCTGTAGTCAGTATTTTTTTGGCAGCAACATACAAACGGCCGTTGAGCAGAAGAGGGGGAAATTCCCAATCTGGCCAGAATGGAGTGAAGCTGACATAAATGCAGAAAAGTGGGACGCGGGCAAAAGTGGAAAAGAAAAGGACAAAACGGGAAAAAGCCCTGTATTTGTAAGTAAGCTTTTGAACTCGTTGGGTTCCAATGAAAATGCTCATAGTTTTTAACGGCAACTCAAAGCTTGTGGAAATTGAGTGTAAATTTTCACCAGGAAGGTGGCTTGTGCAAATCCTCAGTGGAGCAACTGAGCACCAGCTCAAACCTGGTTATTACAGCGCTGCAAAGTGGTACCGTCTGGGAGAGAGCCTCGTTTCCCACCCCCAACCTCATTACACCTCAGCACTCATGGCTTGGAGAGCAGCAGTCTCTCTACTGGAGCCTTGTGATTACATTTCTATGGTATGTGGGCACAGTAGCTCTTAGCTATGATTTGCTACATTTGCATTTTACCGGGATTAACTGTTTTAAGCATCAAAATATAGCAGGTATCTTTGGAATTTTACAGAATCCACTTCTTTAGGTGTGCCATATCTGGCCCATGCAGAATTGTTTTCCCTCTATATCTAATTCACATTCTAAAGCAGTTTATTGTTTGTTTGTACTGTTTCTTCTGCAATCAAAATGCCACTCGATAATGAAGGTTTCATTAATTAAATATATCATTAACTTCAGTATTCTTCGAGTACTCCATGACCCTGAGAACAAACATGCATTGCTCTATAAATGTTTATTTATTAATTTTTATTAAGATTGAGTTGTTTTTTATTTTAATAAAACCATACAGAGGTAAAATACAATATATTTTTTACATAGCATTTTTTTGAAGACCCCGAAGGAAAAATTGAATTACCACCTTCATTGAAAATTTATTCCTGGAAACGTCCACAGGATTTTTTAATTAATCAGGTAAGAAACATTTTTATTATTAACAAAAATATGTATTCATGATGAGATATAATATGCTAGTAATGAAAATTTGCATTAAAAACAATTTAGGGTAATTTTTTCTTGAGGTATTCAGTAATAATAGGTAATTACATTTTGGTATTTAAATTAGAAATAAATGCTTATCAGTATAGTTGAATGTTTCTTCTACTGGCTTCCAAAAGAATATTGAAATTTTGTTTAGAGCCTCAAGTTTTCTTCTCTCCGTGACGTCAAATTATAGAGTAAAATGTTGTGAGAACTTATTCCTTAATTTCTGACAGACTTTCTCCTTTCTGCTTCTTAGCAGGAACTTTCGTGGCATGAAGGTCTGTTTAAGATAGTGTTTATTAGCATTGATTTCCCAGCCTGAGAGATTTGCACCTGAATCTCTCTATTCCAGGGATTGTTGAAGCATTTTCCAAGGGCTGCCTTTCTTTCTGGACCCCACGCCCAGCCTCTTGAATCAAATTGACTGAGACAACACCCCAGAAACCTTTATTTTAAATAGAGCTTAGGTACTTTTAAAACTTTAGACCCCCTGGATGTCTTCCTAATAGCTATGTTTGTTTGAATATGTTTGATGTTTCCAAGGGTTTAATTATCACTAATGACTTTTTTCCCCCTTCTTGATGCTGCTCTTATTATTTTCATTGACTGCATAGAAAACCCGTAGGTTAAATTAGTTACTAGTTAGCTAGCCAGACGGTTGTTGTAGTGGAGCTGATTCTTCCATACATTTTGGGAACCATTGAATCTCTGTTTCTGCACACAGTGATTTTATTCCTAGAAGTTTTAGACTTTATACGCACTACTACCAATGCAAGAAAATATAATTTATCCATCATATTTCACAATTACTGTTACTAGTTGAGAAAGTCAGAATCCTAAATTCAAAAATATTTATTAAAATGAGAAAATAAAAAGATGTAGCTCTGTTCATCAAAGCATTTATAGAATGTCTACTTGTAAGCTATTTTAAATAAAAGCAATCAAATATACATGATTCTTGTCTTTAAATTACTTATAATATTAGGTAACACTGACATAAAGAATATAAATTCTGTGATGTTAGTATAATGCGCTTAATATTAATGCATTATTAATAATATTCAGGCTCTGTTTAATATAAGTGCAATTTGCATTTCATGTGAATAAAGGACATGAATTCCATGAAATGGTAGTCTTATAAATTTGAATAAGCAAAAAAGTTTTATAAACCATCTTTCTTTTTAACATACTTTAGTTTTGAGAGATGCCCTTGTACTAAAAATAAATTCATTCATTGTTGTTGATGATACTTCCACCTATACTTCTCATAATACTGCCATCCATCTACCTCTGCTCCCCCTCTGCACTGACTCCTCTTGATTCATCTTGTTGCAATAGGGAGCAGAACAGCCAGAACTGAAAGCGTAGATAAGTAGGAAAGTCTTAGAATAGTGTTTTTCACATTTTAATGTCTAGGTCCATAGTGATAAATACTTTTTATATTGAGACTCGTTGAATATAGACATATATAAAGTTTAGACAAAAATTTTACAAAACAATAATGAACTTTCTATGTGAGATTTACTCTACTACATTCATAGATAGATGATAGATAGATAGATCTGACCTATTAAAATGATTTCATGAATCACTAATTGTAATCCACAATTTAAAAGCACCGTACAGTCTAGAAACGTACCCTAGAACACTCTTAAGCTAAAGATGCAGTCAGAGGACATTCTAAGTCAGAGACAAGCTAAGTTATTAAACAACGTAAAAGCCTGGTTTAAAAATATCATGGGCAGTTCTAACCAGGAAGGTTAACAAGCCTTGATGACAGAGTGAGTGATCAGATCTGTTTATTTCTGAGAATCAGATATTGGTGGCCCAGGCCCTTGAGTGTTGATTATATTGAACAGCTGTAAGATGTCTGAGGATTTACCCTGCCCCAGATGTAGGCATAGGATACAGAGATGCTAAAATACAATTGTAGAGACCTCCGTGTTAATATTTGTGTCTTTTACAAACTGTTAGTTTCTCCTTTCCTGCTGTCAGTGACTATTAAGTCTAACTCTTTAGGTACCCAATACTTATTTAATCTATAATTAATAAATTATAATTAATTATAATTAATATATTTTTAATTGGAAACTAATATGTGTAATTTTAAATTAATATATAATTACTACATAATCAATCCTAATGCACATAGGTACTTACTGAAAGGTATGGACATTTTAGAAGTATTGCATCATAATCAGTCAAATCAGAATAAATAAATATATGTATAAAACTATGTTACTATGTTTATAAGTTATGAACATAAGAGTCAATGTAGGCCTTATGGTAGTTTTAGGTAAATTTTTTTTAGAAATAAAAAAATTTATCGAGTTTCCAAGATATTAGTTGTATAGATGATTGAGAGCAATTGACAGCATTAATTTCCAAAAAAATATTTTTCACAAAACCATTTTATGTTAATTTAATATTTTAAATACATAATATTGATATGAATTATAATTAATTTTTTAAAAGTTACAAGTCATATTTTTCCATATGTTTATTTTTATTGGACTGAATATATGAAAGCAGCTTTACATATATACTAATTAAATAATGACTATCAAATTAATTTTTTTTAAATAACAGGATTTTAAATTGGACAAAAATTTTAAAAACTGTCACCGTTAATATTTTTCATCCAAGATGAAGATATTTTTCCAGTTACCAGATGTTAACTGTCAGTTTTAACTTGAATGGTGAATTTAAATTTCAAATCGCTATTTTAAACTCTCAATTTATGTGTATATGCATACTAAGTTTATCTGCATATATTAACATCTTATAACATTTTATTTGTATGTTAAAATATTATATTTTATAGACATTATATTATTAAATTAATATCACCTACAGCTGAAACAGAGTTACCTTATGGGATAATGTGTTTATTTTATATTCTTCCAATTTCTTTGGTTGTGAGAAATGAAATCAGGTTTGGTCTGTTTATAGCACATAGGCTACAGTTCTTTTATTTTTTCTAAGGACTAATATCTATTTTTTTTTTAATTTTAGGTTCCAGTAGTTGTGAAAAATGAAATCCTGTTTGACTTGTTTTCGGCAAATGAACATTTACTCTGCAGTGAGGTATGTAGGGAAGTATGCAATAAAACCTCATTGCAAAATGCCTTCCAGACCTGTTTAAACAATTCCCAGTTTCATTCCTCCCTTACTCACCTTTAATTTTGGTGTAACTGAGCATTTAATACGCCAGACATTCAAAGTGGAAGCGAAACCTCCTTGAGTTTAGTGCACAAAAATGGTGGGGAAATGTTACTGTAAGCACTGCTTGTGCCCCTATTCTTCTTCCCAGGGTAGCGTTCTCAGAACCTAGGCATTTCTCCTCCAAATCCACGTGCCAAGAGTTAGGTGTTATATTATTTGATTTGCTAATCTGGGGGAAATAACATATTTTCAGTCCCGCGGTCCCACTTCCTGTGGGGGCGCACCTCCCTTCCCCTGGTTTTGTCCATAAGCGGACCTGTTCCACTCCCCTAAGGTAGTTCTATCAGAAACAGGGGCTGTTCGCTTATTTTCTCCAAAGGCCCAGTCAGAGAAGAGGGGCACGGTCATCATTGATTCAAACATTTCGTCTTTCTTGTGTTTAATATCTTGACCAATATTAAAATAAAAAACATTTACTTCTTCAACCAGGTTGTACTGATTAGCCCAAGTTGTTTTATATCATATGTTTTATATGCTTATTCATGAATCCTAAACATACATAGACTTTAGCTTTTCTATTTTTCAAGGAAGAAAAATATACAATATTCTATAGTAAAATTTTCTGATTTAGACAGACTATTCGATTTGCCTTTTTCAGTTTAACCTACCTTTAAGAAATTTCCTAGATAATACAAATTAAGAAAAACATAAATCTTATGAGGTCAGTGTCAAGTGCATAATCTCTGTACATGCCAGGCAGTAATATACGAGGTGAATATTTCAGAAAAAATACTATGGAGGGTGGTAATGGCTTTCCTTAACACCCACTGTGACCCAGAGATTTCTTGTGCATTGTTTCTATTACTCATGAAAGTGCTGAAAAATAGATAGTTTAATCTACATTTAACAGATAAAAAAAAACAAAAACAAAAAACAAAAAACTACTATTTAGGCTGAAGTGACTTGCCCAAGAACAGAAGGATCTAAAGGAGGATTCGAATCCTGGTCTCTATTTCTACTCTGAAGCTTAGCTCCCACTGTCCCTGGCTGCCAGTTAAAAACCCGCAAGTGGGAGTTCTACTTGGAATACTTCTGCGCCTGCAGAAATGCACATGGTACATGAGTTTACAGTGTATTTAAGTGTGTGTTTAATTTTAACTTTTTTCTCAGGTCTCTTTCCTTGTGTAACTGATCCTATTGACATGAAAGAGATCATTTCCTTCTCAAACTTCTGAACATTTACAGAAGAATAGTGCAGACTTATAAAGAGTAAATTCCAGAATAAAATCATCTTTATTCTCAGAAGCATTCAGTCTTTCTCCCTCGCTTTCTCCCTCACACACACAGAGCTGAAATGAAGGTCAATGTTAATTGGAGGTCATTGACAGTTTACTCTGGAATACAGCTCTTAGCTAAGAGTGTGTTTAATATTCTACTTCTTAAGCCTGTAATATAACAATACTTCCTCAAAACAAAAGCAAGATTTGTGACTATATTCTGCAGGTCAGAAATCAGAACATGCAACACATTACATGTAAAATTTAATCTACTATTGAAGTAGATTTTCAGCTGATTCCCTCCCCCCCTTTATTACAGCACCAACAACGGAAAAATAACTAATTGACACTAATGGTTTTTGTCTCCAGCTGATGAGATGGATTATCAGCGAAATCTATGCAGTGTGGAGGATATTCAACGGGAGCATTCTGAGCACTTATCTTAAAGGGACTTCAGGGGAAGTTCCTCTTCTTGCCTGGAAGCCCTGGGAACACATATACTCTCTGTGCAAGGCTGTGAAGGGTCACATGCCTCTGTTCAACAGCTATGGAAAATATGTCGTGAAACTTTACTGGATGGTAAGTTCACATTCATGTGCATTTGTCTTTAATATTGAAATATATTTGCCTTACGTGCTATTACCTAGGCAAATACAAAATGATGCAATTTATGCAGGATAGTAATTGTGTAGCTACTGGGGCGAAATGTCCTGCATGTGTAATTTTGAGTTGATAAGAAACACAGTTGTTTCTGTTGTGATACCAGTCCCCTGTGCTTTTTAAACTGGTGCTGCCCAGACCTCAAAGAGGTGGCCTTCTGCCGCCTTTGCCCTCTCAGGTATGTGGGCTGTGCAGGCAGGTGGCACAGGCCTCTCTCGCCCATTCCTCTGTGATGTATCAGGGTCATGGGCAGGAGGGTGTGTGCTTCAGGATGGCCTGCTCCTTATATCCCGGCATTTGCTGCTGCCAAGGAGCCTGATCTCATCCTTTTTGTTATTGTTGTTCTAAACCCCCTAAGATGTATTTTCATGTTAACAAATCTTACTCTGACACATAATGTTTTTACCTCTGCCCCAAAAGAAGCAAATGAGACAGTAGGAAGTACAAATAGAGAATTAAAACCCCCTCAGTTAATATGGCAAAGTAGACACACCACATTTAGCAATGCTAGATTATATTAAACACCTTTGAGTTTCTAATGGTGAGATACTCTTTCTAAAGGCCCAGAGTCACAGGCAGGACCAGCTACATAATTTCACACCCCCTCATTAGAAAATTATTAGGAATTTCAAGACAGTGATAGCAGTATTTTAAATCAAGCATAGGCTCCTTCTGAGCATGGGGTCGTGCAACTGGTCCTAGTCACTAAGAAAGAATATTCTTGAATGTCTGAAGAAGTGGAAAAAGTATGAAAAGTTAACTGTTTCATTCTACATGGCTCAGAACATGACTTTTTCCTTAATGAGCCCTAGCCATCTATCTTCCTCAGATGGGGAATGTTGAAAACCAATGAGAAGAATTGATGAGATCATTATAGTGGGAAGGTAAAGATAAAGAAGGTGATGTTAGTCTCTGATATCCAAAATAGGGTTTGGGTTTTTTTTTGTTTTTGTTTTTTGATATTCACAACAAGACAATAGACCTTGAAAGTCATAATGTTGTTAAAAGAGAAAATAACTTCCTGAATTCCTTTATTTTCTTTATTTATCAACCAGGAGACATATTTGGCAGACTAGACCTTAGAGTTTTAAATGTGTGCAGAGGAGTGATAGGGAGGATATGGCGTTAAGAGTGGACACACAGTGGACAAGATTGAGGGATTGTAGGAAATGTAAACATGGGAATAGTGAAGAGGTCAAATGCTTGCATATTTGGCCCCCATTTCTGCAAATATGTCTAAACTTGAGGTGTGGTGGAGTTCAAAATTATTAAGAATTTCAAAACAGCATTAGCCAAACATTAAAACAATCCTGTTAGTTTCTCTCCCCACCCCCAACCCCTTTCTGCTTTCTTCTTTCCTTTTCAAATTTACTTCTAGATGGAGGTCAACATTTATTACTGCTACATTCCATTTTGCAAAGAAAATGTGGTTTGTTTCTCTCTTTAACTGTACTGATTCCTCACAAGCCCAAATCTACTGGAATTCAGAAAATTAAAAAAAAAAAAGTGTTTAGTTCAGTTTGGAAATCTCAGTCTGATCCACTCGTTTAACCTGTCTCTTTAGATAACGTAGCTCTTGAGGGAAAAGGCCAGGCAAGCGGCAGCCAGAAAGCCTGAACTGCATGTCCAGTGGCTTCTTCTGTTTCTTCATTGGTTTCATCCAAGAAATGGCTTGTGGGGGTTGCTAGCAGACTATTGAGAAGAGATACAACTGGTTCCATATGAATTACTTTGGTAGGCAACTTGCTGGCATTCATTTCTGAAGTGCATGGTCATAGTCTTGTTCACTGAGACTGAGAGAAAGCTTTGCTGGCCCTTAGCATTTCTTGATCCATTGTTGGGCTATGCGAGGCCTTCAGGGTCCCTTGCACACTCAAAGGCAAAGGGACCACTTCCCTCAAGATAATAGAAAACATGTCACTGACAAATACATGTGAAGATAAAATGCGGTAATTAAGTAAAAAGAACCTCACAAAGGCCCTGACAAATAGTAGATTCTCAACACTATTAGATTCCTTTTTTCTTTCCTTTCTTTTTTCCTTCCTTCTTCCTTTCCCACTGCTACCTCCTACTATAGATGCCAAAGAGACAGATTCTTCTTCCTGGCTCTTGGTAGAAAAGGAGGTTTAAAGCCCATAATCAGCTTAGCAGCTCATCACTTGCTCAGCAATGGTTCTCGAGCGAGGAAGTGAGGTTGGAGGGAATATACAGTGGTTACTGGCAACACTCTGCCCACTTCTGCAATATGGCTTGCTGTGGTTCCTTTGCCCAAGCTTGCTTACTTCCCGTGCCATGTTGATGCTCAGTCCTCTCGTCTACCATCAAATCATATATGCCTGTCGACTTCTTAAATTGCCTTTATTTGCCTACTTATAAAACAGGTTATTCAAACTTTTGTTATGGAATAGTAAGTATTCTTTTATATATTGTAGATAATAATAAAAGAAGCACTTTTAAAATCTATCTTTTAACTTTGCGTCTTCTAGCCGACTGAGACTTGTAATTATATGTAGTCGATTATGTTATTGTTTTTCTTAACAGAGTCTAGGACATTTTTTGTTTAAAGTAAGATATCACTATCTCAAGAATATGAAAAAAATTTCCTCTTAATTTTATCTCATATTTCTTGGGCTTTTTTGTTTGTTTGTTTGTTTTAAATGTTTGGGCCTTAAATTTGTTTTATCTACTATGAGAAATAAAGAACTGCTTTATGGTATTTCAAAATCTCAGCTAGTTGCCCCAGCATTACATATTGAATGTTCTACATTTTACCCATGATTTTAAAAACCAATTTTATCATACACTAAATATTCAATATGGAATTGTATTTGTTTCTGGACTCTATTTTCTTCCACTACTTTATATTCTATTAAAATATTTTCAGGAAAAAATCTTCCTAATACTGCATTGTTTCAATGTTTTCTTGGCATATGTTTTTTAAATATTTTAAAATATTTTTACTGCTATTTATATTGAACACTTATTTATAATTATTTATCCTTTATATATAAAAGGGATCAGGCCTTATCATTTTTTTCCCTACTATAGCTTCCCTCTCTTGAGTATTTTATTTTGATTCATCTTTCATTCAGATGGATTTTGTGTTCCAAAATTTTACTCACTTAGAATATATATGTGTGTCATAATTTGGTTAACTTTGAAAATTGAGGTCTATTTTCTTTACATATGGTTACTGTAAGACTGATAATTTGGTTACCTATGAAATACTGGGATAGTAAATGCCTGATAATTTTCCGGTTTTAGTGTTAAGTACAGTTATTCGGGGGTCTTACTCTCCACGCTCTCTGAAACGCCGGCCCTCCCTCTCTGCTGTCTCTGCTTCCTTCTTCTCCATAGCATTGAGCGTGGAGCATCCAGCACCTCATACACTTAGCATATTCATTAGTATATGCGAAAATATACAAGAAGCCATTAACCTCTAGATGCTTTCTTTTCCCAGGACTTTGCTTAAAAATATATTTCTTATACTCATGCGTTGGTCCAATTTACAGTGATTTTCATAAGGTAAATACACAAGCCAGATTACAATATTCTCCTGCTAGTCCTCCTCCACTTTAATCCAATTCTTTAAAATTGGAATTGTGGTCTTCAAAAGGACATAGAATATTGATAACGATGGCAATAAATAGATAACTAAGTGCAATATTTAAAGGGCAGAAAACAAGAACTTTGCTGTCTCAGAGACTGTATCCAGGGGATAGAGAGATGGCGGCCTGGTTTTCTGGTTGGTAGGAATATGTACTGTTTGGGCTAGGGGCAGAAATTTCTATTTCGTTCTACCTAATTCCCAGGTGGTACTGCTGAGTTGACATCTGTGTATGTGTCACGTATAGTAAAAAATCAGAGTAAATTCTTTCTGACACATCCTGTGCCCTACATGTATATTCCTTCCTCTGTCACATCTTGTACACCATGAGTCTCTTCCTCATTGTTTATTTTTCTTCAATTTATTGACGCTTTTTTACCTTTTTCTGACTGGACATTAATTTTCCTCTCTGCCTTATTACATATATTCTTCTCCCCCTTTCCTGTTGTCCCTGAAGCATTTATCTTAATCACTTCTTCAAGGCAGACCAGCCTCTCAGAGCCTCTCTACATTTTGCTAATTTCATATTGACAGACATTAGGTTGTGACCAGTGTTGTATGAATACAACAATAATGTAAAATAACATCTTTGTGTATATATTTTTGTCCACTTGCATGACTATTTTTTCTAGGATTTCTACAATGTGTACTTAATTTTTCTGTCAAAATATATGCAAATTTTGATAAGTATATTTAGGTTACTCTTGTATTTTAATTTGTAATTTGTATTTGATATAATTGGGATTTAAGTCTGTCATTTTATCGTTTACTCTGTTACTTCTGTTATTTTTTTGTATGTTTCCCTTTTCCTGTCCTGTGAGTTTCTTGAACATTTCTTAGGATTCTGTTTTGGTTTATCGTCTATTAGGAAAGACAGAAAAAGACATATGACCACTAAATAAGGCAATGTAAGTTCAGAGTTACACATGTTATACAAAGAAAATGTTTTTCTTCCTATTTCTCCTATCTAGCTGGGGAAAATATTAGTCTTCCTTGACTCCAGTTCAAATGTCACCTTCTTGTGAAGACATTAGCAAAATTAGTTACATTTTCTTTTCTAGTCCTAGAGCACTTTGAACATACTGTGTTTTATATTGTTTGCATATATTCCTCCCTTACTGAACTATAAAAATTTAATGGTATAGGCCCTGTCTTATGTCAGTTTTTGAATTCACAATTCTTCTATCACTGCTAAAAATATTTCTTGGGCAAAGAAATGAATTTATAATAAAATTTCACATGTAAAACCAAAGTTTGAAAAAATCTTTGTGTTCACAAACATTAATGTTATCATTTGTGTCAAGCTTTTAATTATGAAGTGATATGCATATAGGTAAATATATAATGATTTTATTAGATAAAGAATTAACTTCCTGTTAAAAGAAAATTAGATATTTAATTAGAAGTAGGAATAATATGGTCATTGGAAGCGTAAGATCACTGAGCCTATCAGGATAAATAATAATTACTAAAGTTATATTTGGAGAATTTTCATTATGATATTGTTATTTAATTATGCCCAAACTTATCTATGGTTGTATAATGTTTTGGCTCTGCTATTTGAAGCACTTTAATTTGCTGCATTATGTAAGATGGTGTACCCAAGAATGTGCTTATAAGACCTCGTAAGTAAGGATTCTCATTTATATCCTTGTTTGGATGTGCTGTAATGACATTAAATAAAATAATAAGCCAAAATTCTCAGCCAGAGTGGTATTGAAACCCAGTATGTCAGTCTTTAGATATGAGAAGTTAAAATAAAATATAAAACAGCAGTTGTACAGAAAATGTATGAAAAGGAAAACAATATAAATTATTAATAGTATATTTTTCTCGTTTTTAGGGTTGCTGGAGAAAGATAACCATTGATGACTTTCTGCCTTTTGATGAAGATAACAATCTATTGCTTCCATCTACGACTTGTGAATTTGAACTCTGGCCAATGCTTTTGTCTAAAGCTATCATTAAGCTGGCAAACGTTGAGTACGTAGAATATGGAATTATCACTCGCTTGTATAAAAACAAAAAAGGCGAACTACAGTAAAAACAACTATATCACATCTATATATCCTATAGCTTTATTTTAAAAGCTTTCTTTCCAAACAATATCAACTTTCTGATATAAAAATGAATATACCAAAACCACTAATTTGAAGTATTGGGTTAGCCAGCAATAAGATAATATTCTCCCTAGTAAAAGTACTCAAAGAACTGTTCTGTAGCCAGTGTTCTCTGACAATGAATGGAAAGTCAATCTTAGAAAATGTTTCTGCTTAATGAGAGAAAGAAGCTGTTTTATAGGGAAACATCTAAATACTGAATAATATATACCGTAATCCAGTTAAAGGTTTAGGTTCTGTATATGCAACAATAATTTACTAATCTTGAAAAACCCGAACTGTTCTGAAGCATGTCAATGTGCTCTTCATGCTTTTGGTGAAAATGATTCATTTTTCCTCAATATTCTTGTGAAATCTGCTTGTATCTTATATTCCTTCATGGCTTGTGGTCATTCCATCTTGGCCCTAGCAATGCAAAAAAGCTTAGATGCTTGAGTTGCAAAATACATGGCAACTCTGTGTCTTTGCTTGATGGAAGAATGCTCACATACACTGCACCGGCTTGAATCTGACACTCTATCCCACCCCTGCAGTGTGCCCATAGTATTCGTGTTCAATAGAACACACCCACATGCTTTAACAAGACCACATCAGCCATTTGCTCAAAGCTCAGCCCCCCCCCCCCCACCCCCGCCCCTTCTGTGAACAGCGGTGTCTGTCAGAGCCAGTCTG